GTGAAAGGCTGACTTCAGGCCCAGCCACTTCCTCACCAACCAGGTCACCACCCACTACTCCCTCCCATGCCTGTCCAAATACAGAGCCCTCAGATGAAGTCCTCCTCCAGAGTTTTCCCAGAATCCTGCCTTGTGGTGCTTTTCAAACTGAAAACCATCGCTCATTTGTGGGTTGTAAAGTAAACTCAGAAGGTCACATCCAGCACTGCAAAAGCAGGACAGGTAACAATCTCTGTGTGTCGCACATTGCCAGTGGAGATACTACTTTGGAAAAGTTTATTTCATATACATATATACGTAAAATGTATTTATTACTAGAATGAAGCCATTTGAAAGCCACTGGCTTAACTGTTTCAAAATTAGATGAACTCTTCGATGCTTCCTGGATAAAGATGAGAGAGTGGGAGTAAATATGTCCTTAAAACTAATAAAATAGTAAGTGGGTATGATTGCACTTACACAAGCAACTTCTGAGGCAGTAATCCTATGTTGTGTGCATTACTTTGTGTGAGGCACTGTGCTAGGAAGCCCAGGGAGCACAGAAATAAAACCCAGCACTCAGAACTTCCAGCTCTAGAGGAAGAGAGATATCTGAGTGGATGTCTGAGAAAAATGCAGCACAAGCACCAAACAGGTTCTCTGAAGACTTCCAGGCCCAGAAGTTGCACATGGTCCTCATGGGGTAGATAGCATCGAGCAGGCCTTCCATTTGGTTTGGTGTTAAAGTGAGAAGAGGGAAAAAAGCATTTAGGTAGAGAACTTATAGAACGGGGAAAGGTAAAGGGGCAGGAAAGTCCAGAGCCTCTCCAAGAAGCAGAAGTCAGTTGATTTGACTGGAACATATTCAATGCTAGATTCACTTTCTGTGATGTTAATGGGGGCTCACTTCTGTGGTCGGTTGTGAGTATAAAAAAAAAGAAAAAGATACAGAAAGATATACGGAAGAATATTAAATACTTCATCCACTCATCTTTTTGGTGAACCAGCACCGCGCAGCCTCATGATGACATCAGAACTCAGAAAACACATGGCCTTCTCTGCCTCTGAAAGGCTGCCTTCCACTGCGTCTTCGTGATCAACAGCGAGATGTGTGGGCTGAGCCTAGAGGGGTGACCTGGAATGTGCAAAGCGGGAGACAGGTTCTCTTCTTTCTGCTGGATCTGGGAGGCGGCCGATGTATCCAGAGAACATGGAGCGGGTCCACTGGGCTAGGTCTCAGTCTGTTCTGTGCAGCTGTGCAGAGAATAAGGAGGATGCCTCACTCCAGGTACCAGGGAAAAGAAAAGTTCAGTCCCTGAAGGCGGGCCAAGCCTGTGTTATGTCTGTTCCATTCCCACGTAGGCGCCATCTGCTGGCCAGACTGTGTACCTGCAGGTCCAGTTGGGCCAGGAGGATGGTGGGGTTTTTTTTGTTTGTTTGTTTGTTTGGTTTTTTTGGGTTTTTTTCTTCCTATCTGGCACTGATGTGCTGAATGGGCTAGAGGAGGCTTACGTAGGCAGGACTCACTGTGCAATCAGATAAGATCCAAAAGGAAATACATTTGGTCGGCAAAGTAAATGTAAGCAGCTTCCTCATCAGTTCTGTGTGGTCCTTTCTGCATTCCCAAACTTGGCTCCCTACCAAGATTTCTACCCACAGATCCAACACTTAACTTTCTTCTTTCTCAGACCTCTCCTGATCATTCTTTTCTTCCATTCTCCTATGCCTCCTCCTTCAAGTAGCCTTCCCACATTCCTCTGTCAAACAGCCTTTCAGTCTGTCCTTGTCCACACTGACGTGTGTGCTCATGCAGGCCATGTGTGCCCCTGTATTTCAGCTACTCATGTCTGCTCAGCCCCTCATTCACAGGGATACAGAAGTCTGAGACCATATCATCTTCCCCTTTACAATTCCAACTAGCTGCCAGTGACCCACTTTGGGTTCTCTAGGAAAGGAACTAATGTCCAGATTAGAAGTCATAGGGAAGAGCTCAATATGGAAGGGTCTTTTAGGTAGTGTTTCCAGTTACACAGCGTGGATATTCCCTCCACCCACGGTCTCTGCCTGAGCATATACAGCCATGGAGAAAAGCATTCAGATCTTGATCAGAGACCAGCCTTGGAAATGAAAACCCCATGACTTCTCTTGGCACCAAGGGACAAGAGCAGATTTAGATACTAAACAAGCAGCATACGGACATGAAAGACAGGGACACTACTGACGGGGGAGGAGTTTAAAAAGGGAAAACCAGGTAGAAACACTGCTCCAGCCACTCCACCATGGGCTTCATTCTCCTCTGAGTGATGAGTGTGACAAGAGTGTACCATCAATGTTATGGGTTGAATTGTTTTCCCCCAAATTTTTTCTCCTGCCCAGTAACTTCCTCCCAGCCCATAAACAACTTCAGACTTTGGCTGAAGGAGAAGGAAGTTCTGGGAAGAGACATGATGGAAAGTAGCTAGGTCAGGGTTAAGACAGGAGCTGAAGATTGGAGGCCAATGTGATGAGGGTCAACTTGCTGGGCCAGAGGCAGAATTGGGGCTTTTCTGCCCCACAGGGCAGATGAACCTGAGCCTAACACAGATGTGCTCTGAGCAGCGACATAATGCAGTCAGTTGGTACTGAAGAAAGATCTATCATTTAGGCTAGATTTGAAGACGGCCTCCGAGCTGGAAGACCTTTTAGATGGAAGGGACCTTTGTCCCGAGTCTTCTTTTAAGCGCTTTACATATTAGCACATTTACACCCACACGGGTGTGCCGTCAAAGTTATGGGTTGAATTGTGTTCCCCAAAATTCCTACACTGAAGTCTCAACCTCCAGGACCTTAGAATTTAAAGTCTCTGCAGATGCAATTAAAATAAGCTCATGTTTGATTAGAGAAGGCTTCTAAACCAGTAAAATTGATGTCCTCATAAAAGGAGAAATTTGGACACACACATACACAGAGGAAGACATATATGACTTGCTTATGGCCTGGCATCAGCAAATGAAAAGCTGCCACCTGTCTTTATGCCCCAGGAGGCAAAGAAGAAAATGACTCTCTTTTCATAGGATTATTTATTTGACTATTATCTTTGGTGAGGCATCCATCGAATATCGGCCAATTTTTAAAATGTTTTTTTTTTTTTTTTGGTACCGGGGATTGAATTTGGGTCCTTGCGCTTGCAAGACAGGCCACCGAACCACTGAGCTAAATCCCTGGCCCTAAAATGGTTTTTTATGTTCTTACTTTTTAAGGAGTTGTTTCTATATTTTTGTTAACAGTCCTTTATCAGATACATTTTCCACAGATGTTTTCTCCCAGTCTGTAGCTTGTCTCTTTATTCTCTTGACAGTGTCACGCATAGGGCATAAATGTTTTATTTTGATACAGTGCAGTTCACCAGTTCTTTCCTTCACCCATTATGCCATCTAAAAAGTCGTCACCAAACCGAAGGTCATCCAAATGTTTTCCTATGTTACCTTCCAGGAGTTTTATTGTCTGGCTTTCCATTTGGATCTGTGACCCTTTTGAGTTAGTTGGGAAGGGTGTGAGGTGTGTATCTAGCTCAGTCTTTACACATGGACAGGGTGTGGTTATTTGCAGACACACTACTGCTGAGGTAGGAAAAGCGCTGTCTCAGGGAACAGAAGACTGGGTTTCTGCCCCAGAACAATCTCTAACAGTTTGGCTGTTACGGTTGAGAGCTAAAATGTCCCCTCAAGGTTTTGTGCATTCAGAGGTGAGCACTGCACCAGGGAGGCACTATACTCATTGGTGGGTTAATCTATTAATAAGTTTATAGCAGAATCATTGATATATTTATAGTAGAATATGCTGCTAGGAAATGGTGCCCAAGTGGAGAAGGTGGGTCACTGGGAGTGAGCCTTTGGAAGGTGAATCTGTGGCTCTGGATCTTCCCTGACTCCTTGATTCATGGCTGCCATGGGTTGAGCAGCTCTCCCCTACTCTGCCCTTCTGCCACGCCTTTTCTGCCTAGAGGCAGCCGACCTTGGACTCAACCCTCTGAAACTGTGAGCCAACATAAATCTCTCCTTTTTAAAATGTACAGATGTCACGTGCTTTGTCCCCACCATGGAAAAGTGACTCACGTACTGAGTGACCTTGGGCATGCACTAGACCCTCTGGCCTGCTCTCTATATGCCCAGAGAGTACCTGGGGCTACAGGGCCAACATTGATCCTTCTCTCCTCAGATCTGTAGATTTTCCTGGCTATCATCCCCTCTGTAGTGTGACTAGGGGACATTTCTCTCTTTCCGTGCCCTTGTTGCAACAGTGTCTCTCCTGGGAAGCCTTTTCCCACCTCTGAGCCCACAGGGAGCCCCTTCCTCAGAGCCCTTGCACATGGAAGATCTGTCACTTGCACAGGGCTGGAGCCAGCAGCCACTTATGTGGCCCTAAATCCATCTCCCATGGGTGTCTGCTTCCTCTCTCTTCTGAACTGGGGCATTTCTGAAGAGCTGAGGATGTTTGTATTCCTTCTGTATATGTTACAAGAATAAAAACAAACTTAAAGATCACATAGCAATAATATGATGATCACTACCCTTTCCTGAGTATTTCACCTATATTCTTGACTAATCCCAATAACCACACTGAGAAGTATCCTCTCCTTCCTTTTTCTATGGTGGAAGCTGAGCTACAGAGAGCGTTTGGGAGTGGCCTCCGGTACTCCACGAAGAAGAGTTTGGAATCTGGGTATCTCCTGACCATGTGCTTCAGCACTAACCACTGCCGCCTGCTGACCCTGGGCAAGGCGCTGGGCAAGCATGTGGCTGTTCAAACACGTGCAGTTGTGGTGCATGCTGACGCTTCCTGATGCGTCACTGTATTCCCAGTGCCTGGTGTAACACTTGACATATGAATGCCCGAATGAGCAGAGATGTTCTGAAAGAGAAGTCACTCTACTCACTTAAAATGGCGTTTATGTGACACCTTTTCAGAGTACAGCCCTGCATAAGTAGTTTGACTTTTGCATTCTCTTTCAGTATATATTAGGATGTATTAATAAACTCGGGGAAGCTATTTATATGTCTGATGGTACAAACTTGCACATTTATACAGCATCGTCTAGAGAACTTGCTTTTGAAAGATCTTCTATTACATCCTCCTGAGTCATTCCATTTCCAGAGGATCCAGAGACTCAAACTCGTCCTCTCGTATGCCCAATGCCACTGCCCCATCATCGTTCACTCCTGATCTTTCCCATCAGTGTGGACACAGATCATGTAGGGACGCTGTTCAACTGCAGCTTCTGATTTGTATTTCTAACAAGCTGGTGATCTAGGGGGAAGTGACACCGAACCACATTTTAGAAAGCAATTCTCTAATTGCCTCCTGCCTCGGTAGAACCTTCCCCACCCATGCCCATCCTCCATCCTCCCAGGAATATAAAGGCGAAACCGATCACATCTCTTCCCCACTAGAAACTCGGGATCCTGTCCACATTTCTGGGCCTAACCTTGACCCTAGGAATCATCCTGGATTTCAACCTATCTTGTGCTGCTTAGCCTGCCTTTATGATATCATACGACAGTAGTCCCCCTATCCATGGGATGTACGTCAAGACCTCCAGAGCAAGCTTGAAACACAGGATGGTACTGACCCCTATTTATACCACATACTATGTGTATTCCTATACATACATACACACATATGATAAATTTAATTTATACATTAGATACAGTAAGATATTAAATATAACTAGTAAGAAAATATAATAATATTAATGGTATGATAGAAAAATACGATGAAGGTTTAAATTTATTTCAATAAAAGACGCGATGCCACTGATCACCCTGAAAATATGCCCCCTTACTTTAAACATACATCCTATCACTTTTGCTGCTTTCAGAAGCAGTTCTGGAAATCCTCTTTAGTGAATGCCTTTAGTTGCTTCCTGACCATCTCAATAACCTCAATTGATTCAAAACATTTACCTTTCATGGTCATTTTTTTTTCCTCATTGAGTTCATTGGTACATTTTAGGTATACAGTACAATTACATTCATTATTGGGGTCTTGTACCTTTACATGACAGGTCTTGGTTCTCATTTTTCCCCCTTGTCCCTGCCCTCCCTTCACCCCTCCCCCTTTACAAACACTTCATTTCCATTTTTTCATTTTCTCATATTTTTTCTCCTCCCTTATTATCTTTCCCCTACCATTCCCACTTTCCCTACACCTTTAGCCCCTTTCTTCCTAATTCACATTGTCCATTATATCATTAGGATCTTATGTACTATTATAGTTTATTCAAATCAGAGAAACTATTCAGTATTTACACATGTATGACTTATTTATTTCACTTAGGAGTATATTCTCAATATGTATTCATTTCCCTATGAATGACTCTAATTTATCATTCTTTATGGCTGAGTAGTATTCCGTTTTATAGAAAAACCACATCTTCTTTATCCAATCTCCAACTGATGGGCAAATGGGCTGTTTCCAAGTTTTAGCTATTACCAACTGTGCTGCTATAAACACAGGTGTGCATATATCACTCTGATATGACTCTTTTAATTCTTTTGGAAAGATACCCAGAAAAGGGATGGCTGAGTCAAATGGAACCTCTAGTCCCAGCTCTTTGAGGTATCTCCATATTGATTTCCATAGTGGTTTCACCAGTCTGCACTCCCACCAACAATGGAAAAGGGTTCCTTTCTCCCTACAACCATGCCAACATTTGTTGTTGTTTGATTTCTTCATAGCAGCCATTCTTTGTGGGGTGAGGTAGAATCTCAGTGTTGTTTTGATCTGCATCTCTCAAATGACAAGTGATGTGGAACATCTTTTCATATATTTACTTGATGCTTTTACTTGTCTGAGAAATGTCTGTTCATTTCAGATGCCCATTTTTGAATCGGGTCCTTATATTTGGGGGGGGCTGGTTGTTTTGAGTTCTTTATATATTCTAGATAATAGTCCTTTGTCTGAGGAGCAGCTGGTAAAAATTTTTCCCACATTGTGGGTTGTACACTTTTAGTTCTGTTGATGGTTTCTTTTGTAGTGCAGAAGCTTCTTAATAAGATGAGATTCCAGTTGTTGATTCTTTCTGCTAGTTCTTGTGCTACTGAGGATTTGTTCATGAAGTCTTTTCCTATGCCAATGTGTTCCAGAGTTCTGCCTAACTTACCTTCCAGCAAGTTTAATGTTTCTGTTTTAATACTTAGATCTTTCATCCACTTGGATATAACTGTAGTGCATGGTGAAAGATAAGGGTCCAGTTTTAATCTTTGGCAGGTTGAAATCCGTTTTTTCCAACACCATTTCACCATTTCTTCATTTCAATGAAGAGGCTATCTTTCCTCCACTGAGGGTGCTCAGCTCCTTTGTCAAAGATGATGTAGGTGAGTACATTTGGATTTACTTTTTGTCTTCCACTCTGTTCCACTGATCCTCGGGTCTCTTTCTTGCCAGTACCATGCTGTTTTTATCACAGTGGCTTTGTAGTACAGTTTCAGATTGGGAATTGTTATACCCGCTGCCATGTGTTTATTGCCTAGGGTGGCTTTTGCTATTCTAGGTCTCTTATGGTTCCAAATGAATTTTTGGATTCTTTTTTCTAGTTCTGTGAAATATAGTGCTGGAATTTCAATTGGCATTGCATTGAATCTGTATAGCAGTTTTGGTAGTATGGCCATTTTAACTATGTTGATTCTTCCTACCCAGGAGCTGGGGATATCTTTCCATTTTCTTATATCCTCTTTGATCTCTTTTTTCAGAGTGCTGTAGTTTTCAGTGTAGAGGTGTTTTGCTTCTTTTGTTAGATTGATTCCTAGATACTTCATTTTTTTGGATGCTATTGTGAAAGGAATTATTTCCCTAATTTCTCTCTCAGTGAGTCTTTTATTTGTGTACAAGAAGGCTAGTGATTTTTGGGTGTTGACCTTGTATCCAGCTACTCTGCTAAAAGTGTCAATTAAGTCGAGAAGTTTTTTGGTGGAGTTTTTTGGGTCTTCAATGTAGAGTATCATACCGTCAGCAAGTAATGACAGTTTAACTTCTTCCTTTCCTATCTTTATTGCTTTAATTTCTTTCTTTTGTCTAACTGCTGTGGCTAATGTTTCCAGAACTATACTAAACAGGAGTGGTGATAGTGGGCATCCTTGTCTTGTTCCTGATTTTAATGTGAAAGTTTTCAGTTTTGGGCCATTTAATATGATGTTGACTGTTGGTTTTTCATACACAGCCTTTATTAAGTTGAGATATAGACCATCTATTCCAATTTTTTGCAGGGTTTTTATCATGAATGGGTTTTTGAAAGAATAAATAAAATCGATAAACCCTTAGCTAACCTTATCAAAAAAAGGAAGGAAAAGGCTCAGATCCATGCAATCAGGAATGACAAAGGCAAAGTCACAATAGACCCAACAGAAATCCAGAGGATCATTAATACCTACTTTCAGAACCTGTACTCTAATAAAATGGAAAACACAGAAGAAATGGACAGATTTCTACATACTTACGAATTACCAAAGTTGAACAAAGAAGATAAAAACATTTTAAACATCCCAATTACAATCAGTGAAATTAAAAATGTAATCAACAAAGAAAAGCCAGGTCCTGATGGATTCATTGCTGAATTTTACAAGACATTTAGAGAAGAACTATTGCCTTTACTCTTCAAATTTTCCAATGAAATTGAAAGGGAAGCTATACTTCCAAATTCATTCCTGGAAGCAAATATCACTTTGGTTCCCAAAACAGGGAAAGATGCAACTAAAAAAGAGAACCATAGGCCAATCTCCTTAATGAATATAGATGCAAAAATCCTTAAAAGATACTAGCAAACAGAATACAGAGGATCATCAAGAAGATCATACATCCTGACCATGTCGGATTTATTCCAGGATGCAAGGATGGTTCAACATACATAAGTCAATAAATGTAATACACTATATTAACAAAATCAAGGACAAAAACCATATTATCCTCTCGATGGATGCAGAAAAAGCATTTGACAAAATTTCACGGTCATTTTGACTTTAAGGAAGAACCAGAAATCTATGGTGCAAGATAGGTGAATAAGATGATGAAAAAATACGGTAATGTTTTTATGAGCCTGTCTATCTACTGGATGGCACTCGGCAGCACCAGATTTTTTCATCAGACCTCATAAAGACACTCACAAAAGAGGACATCCAAAGCTTCTGGAGAAAGTGGTAAGAATGATACGAGACGGGTTCAAAACAAGAGAGTATATTTCCAGGGCAATTAATGGTAATGTGTCTTTTACTGCCATCGATTTTAAATTTAACTTACCACGTCCTTTGATCATACCTCATGCTGTAGTAAGCTGTGCGATTGTGCTCTCTCTCTCCCCCTCTCTTACAGCACCGCACTCTCACTTGTTGTGATGGTGTGAGATGACACTAGGCCTGTGTGATGAGACCAAGCGAGGTGAATGATGTAGGCATCGTGACAGGGTTAGGCCACTGATCTGACAACACCTCCAACTGACTTCTAGAATTTCCCGTTTAATTTTTTTGGACGACCACTGATGCCAGGTAACTGAAACCTCAGAAAATATAAGCCTGGGTGAGAGGGAGCTATTGTACATACTCCCCGTCACGTTGAGTGTGTTTCATCTTCTTCTGTAGAATTGTTCATATTGTGCTCTGTGGCTCCCTACAGCTTTCCTAGAGCAGATGATGCCCTCTACTCCGATAGTGCCTTCCCTGTACCTCTACTCCCACATGAGTGTGCTGAGCCCAGTGGCCTCCCCACCAGACCGGGGCCTCTTTGACAGCAGGGGCTCAACGTGTCTTCTTATCCTCAGTGACCCAACACGTATGTGTGAGCTCAGCAAATGAGAAGCTCATTAATGTATCCTCCCACCCAGTGAGGGACAATGGGTAAGGAAATATCTAAAAGAGCAATAGCAGCTTCATCCGTAAGAGTACAAATCATTGCTACATGGATAATCTCACTTTCTAAGGCTAATTAGATATTTGGCAATATTCACACAGTTGAGAATGCCATTTGCATTGCAAAGCACAGACAAAAATTCTAAATTCTGAACTGGTTTTAAGGGTGCAGTGAACAAATTAAATGGATTTACTGTAGAACTTTCCCAGAAGATAGTGCTCCTTGCAGCGGCTGCAGCATAACTTGCCCTCAGCGTTGGAACTATTTCAAAAACCACCTCTTAGGGGGTTATCATGGAAACGACTAGTACTATCTGACTACACAAATAAACAAAAATTACAACCGCAAAGAATCATAGCTATAGCTTATTGGGTACCTGTTCTGTACCAGCTTCAGGGCTAATCTGTGTGTCTATGATGTCTTATGATCCTCTTTTGGACCCCGAGGAAATAACCTCCATTGTCCCCACTGTACCAGTGGAAATACTGAGGCTCACAGAACTTAAGGGATTCGTTGATGAGAATACAAAGACACAAGCAGGGCTGAAATTAGGTTTCAAGGCTCATAACCATTAAGCAAAACTGCTTCTTGTCAAGTGTATTTGGCCTCATTCTCTGGGAGCTGCAGGCACTGCAAAGGAGATATTCCATGGACAGATGCAACACCCACGATGCCCATACTAGGGGGAAAGATGCAGACCACACTTCAGGCCTTAATGGATCTTCACTTGCAGTACAGAGTAAGGGAGAAACCAACCTAAATGAATTTAAATTAAGCATGAAATCAGTAGCAGCTTCATGGAGCGAAATCAGACAAGTGTCACATAGGAGCAGCCTGAGTAAAGACCCAGGTGGCTAGAATGACCATAAAGAACAGTAATAAACTTCTAGGTAGCCCAACCTGTGTATGGTATTGTCCCATGCTCTTCATCTATGTGACTGCCTTCTTTCCACAAGATATGCCTGACACACTTACAGTTACAATGATTTTATAGATGCAAAAACTTAAAGATTCAGGAATTGCCTCCTACGTGGTAGGACAAGCTTTTGGACTTAGCTCCATCTGTGTTTTTTTTTTTTAGTTGAGTTTATTGGTACATTTTAGGAATACAGTACAGTTACATTCATTGTTGTGATCTCATACCTCTACATGACAGGTCTTGGTTCTCATTTTTTCCCCTTGTCCCTGCCCTCCCTTCATCCCCTCCTCCCCTCCCCACTTACAAACACTTTATTTCCATCTTTTCATTTTCTCACATTTTTTCTTTTCCCTTGTTACCCTTCCCCTACCCCTCCCACCTTCCCTACACCTTTAGCCCTTTTGTGTTTTCTGTTTAGTGTTGGAGAATGACACAAGGGCTGGGGTTTAGCTCAGTGGTTCTGTCACCTGCCTAGCAAGCACAAGGACCCGAGTTCAATCCCCAGTGCCAAAAAAAAAAAAAAAGAGAAAGAAAGAAAAGCAGAATGACTCTCACCTCTCTTCAACCAGTCCCTGAGAGGCGCCATTCTTCAAGGGGTTTTCTATGTTACCAAAGAAGTCACTTACCAGCAAACTGATCGTGCTCTGCCTGAGGCAGTGGCAAACACCCATCCTCAGCAGAGGAGACTGAAATTTCAGGAAATTATGGAAAAATTAGGAACTTGAGAGCCTGGAGGCTCCTTGAAAAAACAAAACCAAATATATTATTACTAGAAATTTGAAGAGACGAAAATATGACCTCTTCTGCTTCCTTGATTCTATGAAGTGGCAAAAGTGTTCCATGCTCTTAGAAACTATATTAGCAGAAGTGTCTCCAAATATGTGTGGCCTCCTGGGAGCTCCAAGTTTTCAATCCCTCTTTTTCATAATTCTTTAGCAAAAAGAAAAGACACGCTTTTCCAGCAGGAAAATGTCCATGTGGTTTTGATATGGCTCAGGTCAGGGCTGAAAGAAGCTGTAACCAAGGCAGTCTCTTGATCATATCTCCCGCCCAGCTCTGAGACCTACCTTCCCACCTAACTATGGGGTCCTTCCAAGAAGCCTGGACGATTCTACAAGGCATCTTCAAATCAGACTTCAGGGATCAGGATTTATCCCTGGGGAAGAGGAGACCACAGAGTGCTAAAGAGCCCTTCATTTACTTGTACTTTTCTGAGCCTCAATTTCCATACCTGCAAAATGGGAGAACTCCACACACTTCCTGGAGGTCTGTCTGCAGGGAACAAAAAGCACTGAATGATGCCAACATGCAGTGGGCACTTTATAAAAGAGGCTATACAGAAAGGTCACCCACAGGGCAGCTTCCAAGTGAGTGGAGGGAAGAGATGCTCTTCAATTCACTGTCCCAGAAGGGTGCCAACCACTCATCCCTCACTAAAGCTCTATGGAAAAAGCTGCAGAACCATGAAGCAGACCAAAGGCAGAGACTTCTCTGAAGCCAGAAGCTCAGCCCACTTACTGGAGATTCAGAAGAGTGCCCCAGAAGCCAATGCCTTCATCCTTGGGCAGTTCTATATTGAAGTTGATGCTACTGTGCAAGCTTCCTATACGAGGTCTGAAGTCAAGGAATCAAGTGAGGTCTGAAATCCAGCCCATGGCCCATTCAGCAAGTCAAGCTCCATGGCAGGAGGAAAGAGGCTTGTTTAATTTTTATGCTTTTTAAAATTTTTTATTTCTTGTGGTGCTGGCAATTGAACCCAGGACCTCCTGCACTATAGGTGTCATAGTCACTTTCTCATTGCTGGCAAAAATGCCTGCCATCCACAGGTTAAAGGAGAAAAGAGGTTTGGCTCACAGTTCATAGAGGTTTCAGTTCGTGGTCAGCTGGCCCCAATGCAGGGTGGCATGGCACAGGGACATCACAGAGGAGAAGCAGCTCGTGGCAGGGGCAGGAAGCAGTGAAACTTCCTTTTTTTTTCCTTTTATTCCATCCAGGCTACAAGCCAATTGGTTGGTGCCACCCACACCCAGGGTGGGTCTTCCTTCTTTAGTAAATCCATCATCCAGACACATGAATATGCTAAATGTCTATCAGTGAACTAATCCAGTATCACATTCCCATAATTCAGTTAGACACACCCATGTTTCAGACAGTAAATCCATCATCCAGACACATGAATATGCTAAATCAGTCTATCAGTGAACTAATCCAGTATCACATTCCCATAATTCAGTTAGACACACCCATGTTTCAGTCACTCCCAGAAGCCCCGCCTATGAGTTCTTGAGGCTTTGAGGGGACATCTAGTTATAAGCCATAACTCTGGGCAAATGCTCTACCACTGGGCCACATCTATCACCAGAAGCCTCTATTTAATAAAGATTCATAGGGACCATAATGACCCTGTACTTCTCTGGAGCTCATTAGGCTGACCTTGAATCAAAAAGAGTCCTTCCCTCCTTTCATCATTCTTTAACCAATCTCTTCTATTTACTAGTTCACTAAGAAACAGTCCTCATGTCAAGAGGTGCGGCGTCTGGTGAGAGGGGACAGGCACAGGAATGAATGACTGCAGAGCAGGACAGCGCAGCAAGGATGATGGACAGAGCATGGGGCACCTGCCCAGACCGCAAGGCTTCTTAGCAGCAGACGGGGCCCAGAGGAGAAAAGTTCATGAGAAAAACAAGGATGTGCAGCCAGCCCAGTGCAAAAAGAAAACTGGAGACAGGGAGCAAAAGGAAAGGAAACCCAGAAGGAAGGGGGAAATTGAAAGAGAATTAGAAAAAGATGAGATGGAAGTGAAAGAATGAAAAGGAGCCTGGCTGAATGAAGACGGTTTTAACTATGTGTTGTGTGTGTGTGTGTGTGTGTGTGTGTGTGTGTGTGTGTGTGTGTGCGCGCGCGCCCCCATGTCAGTATGTGCTTACGACAGAGAGGACTCTGTCTCAGGGAATCGCCACAGCCATCTTTTAGGCGTTCTTTATTGTTCCCATTTTACAGGTAAGAAACTTGGAACTCAGAGATGAAACCCAGAAGACCCAGCCCATTTACAATGGAACCCATGCTGACTCCTGTGCAACCCAGAAGAGGGAGGGTGTTCTGGGGGTCCTCCCATGCCTCCTCTCCATCTTGCCCCATGACATGCTATTAGTTCAAGACCACAGCCCTGGGAGCCCTGTCTCACTGATACACTGACGATTTCAATGCCAACTCAGGATGAGGTTAAGGTTGCCGGCACAGAACCAAGGCTACCTTTAGCACAATGTCCAGAGAACATTTGGGGAGCTTCCCATCACTCTCAGCTGGGGGCTCAGGGCCTCCCCGTCAGGTTAATTAAATAAATCTAATCATGAAACTGAACTGACCTGGGTGGCGGGCAGGGGCACTCAGTTCCAGTTCTGGCAACTGTCAGAAAATCCAATTAAGATGGAGCTGAGCCTACCACATTTCATACGGATAATTGGGGGCAAAGGTGGGAGCTGAAGGGAAGCTAAAAAGGGAAATTATATCTTAATATCCACTAAATCTATATCCCTTTTAAGCAGTGCCAGCGAGGGTCTAGGGACAAACCCAGAAAAGAATTAAGTGGAAACCAAGCACCAACCTGTTTCCCATTTCAACAGTTTCCTGAGATTCTGGCTGTGGGCAAGGGCATGTGGCAAACACGAGACACATGTCCATGCAAGGCTGTTCATCACCACGGATTCCTGTGCCAGGACGGCAGAGGCCCAACGTCAGGGCCAGCTGGGATTCACCACCAATGAACTGGTTCACCTTTGACATTGTACTTGCAGACCAAAGTTCCCACCTAGGGTAGCTTCAGAGACATAGGGGGATGATGGAAATTCCACACAGGAATGCGAAAACGTAAAATCTTCTATCGAGCTCATCACTATGAGCTGTGCTTTAGGGTATTAAAGCAGGACAAGGAAAATGATGGGGGCTGCTCAAGAGGGCACAACCATTTATTCTTTCTTCCACCATCCATTTGAAATTCATTGAGCACCTATATGGTTGTTATGGTTTATATCTAGATGTCCCCTCAAAGCTTCACGCCTTCGTAGGTGGGGCTCTTTGGGGAGATAACTGGATCCTGGCTGTGTGGTATGGGATGAGTCCCTGGTGAGTTTTTAGCTGGGTGAGATGTTGGGAGGTGAACCTTGGAGGGATGAGGTGGGTTACTAGGGCATGGCCTGGAAGGATCTATCTCTTTCCCTCTCCCCTGATGCCCCACTGCTTCCTGCTACCATGCCACGAACTGTGTCTTCTCTGCCATTTCCCCCAGTGTGGAGCTGGCAGACTATAGACTGAAACCTCTACAAACTGTGAGCCAAAAATAAACCTTTACTCCTTTAACTTGTGGGTGTCGGTGTTTCGTCACGTCAAGGAGAAAGTAACTAAGACAATGGTCTAGATTACAAAACATAAATAGAATATGGTTCCTGGCTCGGGAAGAATCTTTTTAGGCCAGGAGAGGAGGATTTGAGTTGGTTTTTCTCCCTCTTACATCTCCAACACTGAACAACACGTTAGCATTTAACATAGTAGACACACTCTAAGAACCTGTTGGCTAACTGAATCGGTTTTGTATATGATGAGTAACAGGCATTTCCAATAAAGTCTGATAAAGCTATGAAAGAAGGCAAAGGTGTGAGGGAACTTAAATGAGTTACCTCTCCCTTGCAAGAGGGAGCAGCATGTGCAGGGGCTGCATCTGTAGTACTGCCAAAGGAGGAAGGGGGAGATAAAAGAAGAGGACCACAGGCTAGCGGAATGCGAAGGGGTCTGGTTGCAATGGACTGCAGACCAGCCACGTCAGGGAGAGGGAAAGGGCTAAGCGCGTTCTGGGGGTTGCTTTAAGCCCCAAGAAAGGGCAGAGCAGGAATTAGCACAAAGCGGAAAGCGGGAGAACCAGGCCAGGGTAAGAAACCAGAGAATGAGGGGAGGTGTGATTTACAGGGGTGGAGTCTGGACTGGGGGGTGAGTTCGCGCGGCGAAACCTCCAGCTGATGAAACTGACAAAGGCAAGCAGCGGCGCAGCCACCGTGGCCACCGAGCCTGCGCAGCCAGCCAGGGGCTGACGTCTGAGGCCGGGAAGCGATCCCAGGGCGCTCGCTACGCAGGGCCGAACCGGCAAAAACAAAGCCACCTCTCTCCAACAAAAAAGAAACAGACATGGCCTGGCCAAGAAAACTACTGGTGAGAGGAAGGAAACAATGAGGAAAGTCAAGTCAGGGAAGTTTGAGTCTCTGGTTGGAGCCTTCAGCAGCTCTGATCGCTAGATACTTTATGAGAACGTCCTTTGCTCCTGGCTCTTCCCTTCTCCCCGAAGGAAAATAAATCCTTTGAAATCCGAGGGCGGCACAAAAAGAAGCTGTTTAGGCTGTCCCTGCTGGCCTGTGGCTCAGTGTTGTCACCCGAAGTGCCACAGCTGCCCGAAGTGCGCAGGACACGGCGCTCCGGAGAGCAGACAGGCTCCGGGTGAAAGGAATCTTGCTCTCTAGCCCTTCCTGCCAACCAGGAATACAACTGCTGGTGTCTCTGCCTTATACTGTTGCTGCTTGTATCCCACCCAGACCGGCAACAGTGCATCTCCCAGCCCCCACCGAGGCCCCTCCCCTCGCTTTTCTTCATCCCGAAGCTCGGCACAGCAAGGCTGTCTGCCAGTTACCCATAAAAGCAAAGGCAGGAGCCACCAATATGTGTTTAAGAAGATGGCATTTTAATTAGTGGATTCGCGCTGCCATAACCCCAGCTCCCGCTCCACCTCTCCTCGCCCTCTCGGTGGCCTTTCCCAGCCTCTCTGCTCACCCCCATTTATGTTAAAAAAAAAAAAAAAAGCCATAAAGCCTCTCTCCAATCGCCTTCTCCGAGTTTATGCAACCCCCACAACACAGGTTGATTGGAAAGGTCTTTCTCCTGGATAACAACAATTCAATGTGCCTTGACATTTTAATAACCTGCCGTCCTGGTGAACACAATCGAGCAGAGCAGTGAAGCAAAAATCATTAGGTAAGCAAGATAATCTAAGCGGAATCTGTCGCCAGCATGCTCACATCTGGGGGAAGGTTGCACAGCTGTGCAGTCCAAAAGCTGAGCTCCTCCTGCCCAGCAATGCCTTTGTATGTGAGCCTCAGCACACGCACTGGTGCTGCCAGGATACACCCCTGTGCACAGTTTTTGGGAGACAAACAGACCTACTGAGGCCCCTGTATGAAATCATAAAGGTACCAAAATTTCCAATAGATCAAAATATGTGCTACCTCACCAAACCACCATCAAAACGAATTTACTCATCAAAGCAAAGGCTTGCTAGACCACAGGGAACAAGGCAGATATTTTTCGAAATAGCAACCATGTAAATGCTTTCTATGCACATATATACATTCATTTAGGTATCTTTTGGATATAATACATGGCAAATATATAATTTAAGCCAAAATATATAATATAGAACTTTTATTCTTAGGCAGGCAAGGTACTGTGATAAATTTTTCATGTTTACTAACCCATTTAGACCTCAAAGTATCACGATTAGTGGTATCCCCATTTCGTGTAACAGACAACTGAGGCACAGCATCAACCCAACTTTCTACGTCACCTGTTAATAAATGGTCAAGCCAGTATTCAAATCCAAGCATTCTGCCTTTAGATTCCAGGCTGTCACCCACTATGCTAGGCTGTGTCAGAAAAAGTAAATCACACAAAGAAACATGTAGTGTGTCACACATCTTTATAAGGTTAGTGCCTTACTTCGTGAGTATGCACACTTACACACATCACACACGTATATTTGTGCGAATATTCAAAAGGTGCAGAGCAGTATGACTGACTTCAACACACACACCTGCCTGCTGTATATTCAGCCAAACTCATAGTATCTGGTGAGAACCTAGGCCATCGCTGGGGTCCTAGGGACTTGACAGCTTCGATCCTCAAGTAGTTTGCGGCTTACAAGAGAATTGCACAGGCAAATAGCTGCTTAACCTTTTGAGTGGAAGGTGAGAAGCTGACACCGAGCTGCAGAAACAATAAGGGTTCTCCCATCCCGCCATTCCCCCAGCCATTCTGATTCTCCCCACCCGCAGAGTCCTCCTGGGGAGGCACATTGCTTATTTCCGTGCGGCTGCGTCACCTCAAACATGTGGAGAGCTCCATGTGAGAATCATCTTCAGAGCCATTTTATAAGCTGCCCAAGAAAACGAGTCTTGTTACCTGATAATTACACATAAGGCGGCACACACTCACACCCCTTTCCTAGGAGGGAGGCAGCAATGACGTCACAGAACTCAGGAACTAACAGATGATGGCAAATTCTCCTGTTGGATTCGAGCCCTCCCCGGCTGGAGCCTGGCCTTCCTGCTCTCCCTGCACACGGGTCCCCCCAGCACATACAGCCACTTCCCTGGGCGCTGACTTGGCAAGCTCTTCGCTGTATGAATATGACCCTCAGAGGGGAGAGCCCCTCGCAGCCCCCGAACTATGTTATCACCATTATTAAGGGGCTTAAAGAGGAGCTGGGAGGAAGAGACACCGCTGGAATTGCAGCCTGATTGTGATTGATGTGTTCCTATTAGTGCCTCGGTGTTATCTCTCTGGATGGCAAGAACAGCCAGTGGCTTGTAACACAACAGATTACCTGAGTTCTCAGCCTTAGAAGGATGTTTAAATAAAATATAGTCCCTCTTAGCAAGAGGCTCATTTTCTCCACGAAGCTCCCAGACTATTTCATGTCAGCTCTGATTCGCTGCAACTCTCCTCAGTAAACATGTCTTATCATTAATAATTCTTTACAAGCCCAGTCTCCAAGAGTCCTCCCTCCCTCTCCCTCTCTCTCTCTCTCTCTCTCTCTCTCTCTCTCTGTCTCTCTCTCTGTCTCTCTCAGTGGCTGGACTCAGAAACATCACGCTCCAGCTTGGGTTCCAAGGTGCTTCTCTCCGGATTTTCACCTGCCTTGCCAAAAATGATTGATTACCCCAGGCCAACTGGGTGTCCAGCAATACCCAACAAATGACTTTGGCCCCTAACAGCAGGCCTTGGCCAGATAGAAATCAATATTTCACCATTAAAATCTATCAAAGAAGAGTTAAGGCACCATCTGTCCCTGCCGCCTCTCTATGGTGTGTGAACATTAAATCCGACACTTGTACTACATGGGTAATCAATATATAGTGGTTCACAGATCATTTGTGGTCCCCTTCTAGCAGTGATGGATGTCTGGAATCGTTGTGATTCATTTTGTCAGACCATTAAACAAGATTCTGTCCAGTTCCTTCCTGATTTCATTTAGAGGATCATTCTTCACAGTTCATAAGAGGGAAACGGTTTTACCAATCTGCTTCTATTTCAATAAGTCACTTTATAGAGATTTTGTGTCCTCCAGACTGTAAAAATTCCGGAGAGATAGTACAAACAGACCTCTAAAACTATTCACTGCATGACATATGCATAAAGTGTGAAGAAAGGAATGTAAATATGTTTACCTCTTTATCTGCAAATGTTGGTTTTAACCCCACCTTGGCTGGAGAGCTGGCTGGCAGGGTGCTCCAGGAATCCTAGCTGCTGTAGCAGAGTAGGTTGAAACTCCCTGATGGGATATTTACAGAGTCAAGGGGAAAATCCCTTGAACCTCCAGGCAGGGTTAAAAGTAAATGGGGAATGGCTTTTCCAAAGGCACATTTCAGAGACTTTGATTTCTACAGGCAAGCTAGTCACATCTCTCACTCCAAGAATGCAAATGCTTCTTGGTTCTCCTGTTCAGCAGCCTGACCCAAGAGAGGGGCCACTCACCGCAGCCCATGAGAGCAGAGGTGTGTGTGGACATGAGGATCTGCTCGACAGTGTGGTGACTGTGGGACAAAACCTGTGCCAGACACACAGCATGTGCACAATTCCCACCCTCAACAGTTCTGCAAGGTAGGTTTTATGGTCTCTACTATCCAGTGAAGAAACTGAGGCTCAGATTAATTGGCTGAGGGACTGTCAGAGAACGTGAGAGTCGAGGCCCAATCCAGGCCTGTCTGAATACAGCAGAAATGTATGCTGGGGCCAGGACTCTGCAGACAATGTTATTTTAATTCAAGTAGGTTTCTTTCAGTGTCCCTAGACTTCACACATGCACCAACCAATCAGGCTGTTACTAGAAAGTAAATTTTTAATTATTATTATTTTAAGTACATCTATGAAAATGACCACTAAATAATATACTTCATAGCCAATCAGTAGGTTTTACAGTAATTTTTGGTTTTAGACTATTGACTAATTATATCATTGTTGCTGATGTTAGTGTAAATAAGAAAATATTCATCTAGATATTAGCATAAAATATAGTGTATATTGATATATACTGATATAATAATTAGAATTATATTATAATTATGAATCACATAATAAATATATAACATGAAAACTTTCAGACATAATTTCACCTTTCCTTCTTTTGTTCTATGCAAATAAAGCAACGAAAGCACATAAAAATAAAAGCTGTCCTTGAGACAAGAATCTTGTTTTTTGACTTGTGGATCAAAATAGTATACCAAAAATCCTAAGTGAAGGAGTGTTATTCAATTGTTATTTTTAGTATTTTGGTTATATATTTGTTAAGCAGATGACTAGGAGAGATGTATACCCATTTTCCATTTGGGTAAAGCCAAATAATGACCAATGGATACGTACATTCATTCCAGTTCACTAACCATTAGGCAGCCTTGCCCGAAGGGTGAGTGTTCTGTAGGCAACAACAGAAGGAAAATAGGGCCACTTCAGACCCAAGGGCTTGGTTGCCAGAGTCATGCTGGATACCAGCACCCAGGGAAACACAAGGCTAGGGAACTTGGGAGGTATGTGGCATGGCAAAGAGAGCTTGATTAGGTTTTGCAAATTGCAGACAGAAAAACCTATCTGTGCTACTAACTGTATCCACACAGACAAGATAGTTACCTTCTCTGAGCATCTACTTCTTTGTCATTAAGATTGAGGATTATTACACCTACCTCACAAGATAATGGTGAGGATTAAAAGAGACATTATTAGCTTCAGCACAGGCCTGAGCACAGCACAGGTTAGTTCCCCTTTGTCCTTTCCTCTTCCCTTCCTTCCTTCACAACATTATTCCATAAATGTATGTCATACCGTATTTCAGTCTTCAAAAAGAATATATGTAATAAGATCTGCCACACGAATATTTTTCTAAATCTGTGATTCTAGAAACACAAATCTAGGAATAAAAGAAGAGGAATTAAAGAGAGATCTTTGGTCTAACTACTGACCCAATGCAAGGATAACTTTCATGCCTGTCACTGAACAAGATGTCTCAAAAAGATCTGCCTTGTCACTGGACAGTCTCCTAATGATACATTTCCTGCTAAGATTCCATGTAAATTCTACATATTTAGTTCCACTCATAATTCCAATTCATAGCCACCTTATGTTCCATATAATAATTTAATAGAATGAAATGTTCCTTTTCATTTGTGTTAAAACTACTGTCTTGAAGCATTTTGATTCTTACACCAGATCCAAGAGATCTGAGACTGTCCCCAAGCTGTCTTATGCATGTTTCCATACCTTTGCTGTAAGCACATCCCACCTCACATTAACTGTGGGAATGAACTTTTTTTGTTCTTGTTCTGTTTTGTTTTTGGTACCGGGGATTGAACTTGGGTCCTTGTTCTTGTAATGCAGTCCACAGAACCACTGAGCTAAATCCCCAGCCTTAACTTCTTTTTTTTTTTTTTTTTGGTACCGGGGATCAAACTCGGGTCCTTGTGCTTGTGAAGCAGGCAGCAGAACCACTGAGCTAAATCCCCAGCCCTGAACTGTTTTTTTATATTTGTTCTTTTGCTTTTCTTCTATGAATCTGCCCTTGGTTTTCATGGCTCTCTGGACCTTCTCTGCCTCCACATGACTTTTTTTTTTTTGGTATTGGGATCAAACTCAGGACCTTGTGATTGCAAGGCAGGCCAGGAGGCGCAGTGCTGCTGAGCTAAATCCCTGGCCAGGCCCAGAGCACTTCTGATTTAATTATGCACTCCAGGCTTGTCTGTCTACTTCTTCCTTCCTTTTTCTCCTTTGTTCTTGGAATCTATTTCCCTGCCACCTATCTTTCCACCCACCCACACTCTCACCTTAAACTTTCCAAAGCTCAAATACTGGTCTATTATCTTGGGTTAGGACAACACCCTTGATAATGAAATGAACTAAAGCCTAGTCTGTGAGCAGCTCTTGAAGCAGCTGTTACCACCTTCACAAATGCTCCAGACACCATCAGAAGCCCAGATCCATGTCAGTAGCTCAAGACATACCATGGCGTCGCACCTGTTTCCACTGTTCCCATTATTTGCATGCTCCAAATGTGGAATTAAATCCACAATTGTATACTGGCCATTCCTGAGAAAGTGTTCATGACCTATGTAGGTCTTTCAAGACAGAGCAGCCATCTACAAGAGGTCATTCCATCCAGTCACTCAACTCTATGCTGACTCCTGTGGTACTAAGGTACACTCCATGTGCCTTACCCTCTCCTCCAAGTTCTACTCCTTGCTCATATAATGTATTGCAAATGTTAATATCTCAAAACGTCAATTCTTGCCAAGTTTCTTGTTGGTAGACAGAGCACTAAATGGTGTTTAGAGGGGACATAAGACTTGAATCTCTTCTTTCAATTCAAAACCTCATAGGAACAGAGTATCAAGTAAGAGATCACAGCATTTCACCTCATCCTTTCCACATACTCCTTGGCCAGGTTTTGCCTAGTGAGGATTTAGAAGCTATGCTGAAATCAACCACCTAACAGTGAGGAAGGAAGGAGAATGTCCTTACAGCCTGTGCATGAACAGGGGACCATTTGCTGTGCAGCAGAGCCTTATTCATGAGTGGCCTCCTCAGACTATCAGACACTGTTGCTGGGAAGTAAGCCTGACTTAGAACTCCTCAGGGAAAGGACTTCAGGGTACCAACAGGAAATACCAGCACACTCAATGGTTATCAATGGGTATGAGAGCACACAATCTCTCTGAGGGTCTCAGAAATGTGGCAGTGAGTTCTGCATTGACTGAAGGGCTTGCATAATTAGTGGGTAAAGCAGCTGATGTGCCCTAAATTGGTAAGACTTTCCCAAACAATTGGGCACTGTCTATTCAAGATGACAGTAGCACCCAATGACTGAGTTCAACTTTCTAATTTGCATATGAAGAAGACTTAAAGACATTTTTTTTCCTACCCCAAAGAGACCAAAGACTTTTATTTTCCTGTCCAGTGGC